GCTAAAGCTAATGCTCTGATAACAACTTAATGGTTAGGACACAGACCTGTGGTTACAGATGCTAATGCTAACGCTCTGATAACTTAATGGTTAGGACACTGACCTGTGGGTTACAGATGCTAATGCTAATGCTAATGCTCTGATAACAACTTAATGGTTAGGACACAGGCCTGTGGTTACAGATGCTAATGCTAATGCTCTGATAACTTAATGGTTAGGACACAGACCTGTGGTTACAGATGCTAATGCTAATGCTAATGACCAGACGGTGGATCTGGGGACACCATGTGAGACTCCAGGATCTGGAACCTGGTCCAGGAGATCCTCGTTCGGGTGGGAAACCGTGTCCAAAAGGGGGAAAAATCACACCGCGTACGCCGGCTTTAGCTAGCTGCCAGCAGCTGGATTCTGTTTGTGGTTTTTAGAGCACTTTAGTCTGCGTTTAGAGGGCCGTCTCTGCTTCTAGGTTCATGAATTTAGCTGGAAAACGTTTTTAAAAAACGACCCACAATCTGGTCCTGAAGCAGTATTCCGGATCCCGGATCTCTGGGATGGTTTTTAGCCTCTGCTGGAAGATTTTAGAGATCAAAAAGGACAATTTTTCTTAGCAATCTTTTCCTTATACCTCGTTCTATTCTGTTTGTGGAAGACTTAGAGAGGCTTTCTGCCTCAGTGGGCAGACACAGAGCAGCAGAGAGCCTCTTCAGAGGGATAAAAACGGGATTTATCCGGGTTTACAGACCCTCAGACGCATGTTTTTCCGGTTCCTGCTGCCTCTCGGTGGCTTTAAACGCATTAATCCTCCCACATGCAGCACAGAGGGCGGTGGAGCCTCAGGTTCTGATCCCAGATCAGATCAGAGCTCTAGGTTAGCTTCTAACTGCTGTTAAAGTTAGTTTGACTTCAGACGTTCTCCTTACTGTGAAAAAAAAGGACTCTTTTGACATCAAAAGCGCTTAATTTTGATGAAGAAACGAGAAAAAAAAGCTCAATGACATCAGAAATGATAGTATGGAATGATCGAAGAGCCACAAAAATACAAATAAATCATTTAAAGTTAATAGATATAAATAAGGAAATGTTTAAAATGTTTAAAACAAATTTTAATTCAAAGTTAAAGACCAATCAGATTTTTCAAATTTAAATAAATTGAGAAATGAGAAATGATAGTATGGAATGATCGAAGTACCACAAAAATATAATTCAAAATGAATAGATATAAATAAGGAAATGTTTAAAATGTTTCAAACTAATTTTAATTTAAAGTTAAAGACCAATAAGATTTTTTAAATTTAAATAAACTGGGAAAAAATGAGAATATAAATAAGTTACATTCAAAATAATTGAGCAAAAAAAAAGAATTAAAGTAATTAGCACATAAATGAACAATATTGTGAATGAATTAGATCATGTGGTATTCAAATGCTGAAATAAATTAATTGTCTTTAACCTTCTTATTCTGTACAAATCCTATTCGATATGTAGGTTTCTGGACTTTTAAAATCATCATAAAGTCTAAACTTAAAGCAGAATATTTAATTTTCTGTTTGAAAGAGTAAAAAAATTCAGATTAAAAAAGCTGAATCAGGCGTTAAGGGGTTAAAATACACGTTTAAACATTAATTAGAGTTTTTTGGCCCTTCTGTCATTCCCTACTTTTCCCCTCAGAGGCATTAAGGTCATTAAACGTTTCCATTTGGGGATTTTACTCAGCTGCTTTAGAGGCAGAAAAAAAGACAATCAGCACGAGGAGTTTCTGTTTCTAAATCCGGTTCAATCAGCCCAGATTCATTATTCTAACAGTTCTGTCCCCAGAAAGGCTAGAGGAGGATTATTCCTCCCAAAATCAGACCTAAAAAAGCCTTTTTCTGCTCAAAACTGGTCCCGTTTCTTTGTAGTCAAGAAAATATCTTAAATTAGATTAAATCTGATTAGTTTTTTTAATCTAAATAGATTAAATTGCACTTTTGTTTTGCTTTTAAACATGAGTTTTGTTTCTGTGCTGCCCCCTGGTGGCTGAAAACAGTCATTACAAGTTTATGATTCTGTTATTCAGATTGAAGCTTTTGGGGCCTAAAAGTCATCAATCTGAAAATATAAAAACGGATGTTGGGCTGTTTTTGTTTAGCTTTTGAAAATAATTTAGTTTCTAATCAGTTTTGGAATTAGTTTCTGTATTTACGTCCTTTTTTTCTACCAAAATAATGATGTAGGAGTCTGAATTAAATCCTTTTAAGAAAGTTCCACATAGCTGAAAGAAAAATATGAAGAATTAGAGTAAAAAATAAACAAAAACTTGAAATGAGACTGAAATAATTAAATCCAAATCCAATGTATTTATTTAACATAATATTAAACCATTTAGAATAATGTTTCTGAGCCTTTTAATATATTTCCTGTTCTTTTTTTCCCCATTAGGGCCGTTTTAGTCCTCTGATATGTGATTAGATCTGATAAAGTTACCTGATTTGTTGGATTTAAGCTTATTTTCCCACAGTGTGTTGCTTTGTGTTTCCTAAAGTGGCTTCTTGGTTTAAACTCCCACTTTTAATGAAGACTGGGAGTCGAATGAACATTTCTAAGATGAAAAAATGCTGTTCCTGAGATGGATCCAAACCCTCATTGTTAATTTAAAATGCCTTTTTGTGGCCCTTTGCTGTATTCGGCACCTTTATCGAAACTCGCTTCATCCTGAAGAGGTGAGGATGTATTTTGTTGTAAATAAAACAAAAGGTCTAAAAATGCTTCCCGTCCTGGCTGATTATTTTTATTATTATAATTATTATTATTATCCCCCTACACCAGCATCACATTATGGCATCCAAAGATAAGCTGTTTAGACCAATAAAATATGAACAAAAATGATTTTCAAAGCAATTTATAACCAAAGATTTAAGTGATTTACTTTCTGTTCCTTAAAGCTTTGATTGCACCAGCTTCTCCTCTTTGGAAAATGTCATATTCACCAAAACAAATTGGATTTAACATCATTGTCTTTGATTGGATCATATTTCTCTTTTCCTCCAGGGTGTTTGACTCAAGTCTTTTCCAGATATTTATATTTTAAGCCAGTTAAATTTGATATTTATTGAAGTTAGACGTTATTTCAGGCTTTGGTCTCATGATTTACATGCATAACAACAACAAAAAGGAGCTTTTCTTCCCTATTTTCCGCTCAAATCCTGGACTGGAGACCCAGATTTAAGATGCAAGAACACATATAAGACACTAGGTGGCGCTATAACCTAAATCCCTGCTCAGGAAATCCACATTGACCCACATAAACCCAATTTCATGCATGACTTCTTCACATTAAACATCCTTTTGTTTTCAAATGGCAACAATATGAAGAGAAAGAATTAGAAAATCACCACATTTTGAAGCATTGTTGTTATTTTGTTGTAGTTCATGTGTTTTTTTCAGTCTTTTCATCTTTAATTCATCTTTTAAATTAAGCACATTTATTATATTATTCTTATTTATTTGTATTATTTCTTCCTTATGACAACGGTGAAAGAAAAAAAGGATTTAAAGGTGTAGTGACACAGATAAACCACCAGGTGGCGACGTGAGTCTGATTCCTCCTTAAAGAAAACGAACCTCACACAAATTAAACATAATTTCAATTCATTTGACTCTATTTGTCTGTAATTTTCTGAATATTTTACTCAATTTTTTTATTTATTTTATAAATATATGATTATACATATTTATATTTATATATATTTCCAAATTAAGCCCCTGATGTATTTTTTTATTATTGATTTTTTATCGATATTAAGCCCATTTTCAGGCCCTTGGTGTCCGGAAATGGATGCATGACCACAGTGATCTGGTAATTGAACGCCTCTCGCGCATGCGTACTCGGTTTGTTGGTGCTTTAAACGTGGAAACGTGCACTCCCCCCCCCCCTGTCAGGGTTGGTACGGCCTGGGAGGGAGGAGTCTGTCTCTCCCCGACTCTTCCCCCCATCACAAACACTCACAGGCGGCCGCCATGCCGCTGGACAGGTGACCCCCGGAGCCCCGGACACGTGACCCCCGGAACCCCGGACACGTGACCCCCGGAACCCCGGACAAGGGGCCCCGTTCCCGGCCTCCAGATGCGGGAGGAGGGCGGTATCTGAGGGGGGAGAACCGGGGGAGAGAGGGGGTATAAAGGCCGGTTCCATTCAGCCTATAAGAGGATAAAGAAGACGGACATCCGGGTACTTTTACCGGCAGCATGAGCGGTGGCCCGGATGAGAGCTCCGTGCGCGTGGCCCTGAGGTAAGGATGCTCCGGTACCCCCCCCTGGTCCTGGTTCTGGTCCTGGTCCTGGCTCTAGTCCTGGTCCCTGGTCCTGGTCCTGGTTCTAGTCCTGGTCCTGGTCCTGGTCCTGATTGTGTGACTGGTTCTAGTCCTGGTCCTGGTCCTGGT